CTTTTAGTCTGTTGAATTATGACATGACGCTGTTAAAACTACAGTTGAGAATCTGCCTGTTTTCAGGGAATGACTAACCAATCTAGGAATGCTTATGCTCCTGCCTGGACAACGGATGACCTGCCAAGTTAAATGTAGTGCACCGGCCGCACAGTGTGGCTGCCAAGTGCTTGACAACCCCGCTCCCTCGCTTTGGCAGTCACACATTGGGCCATCATGTCCAGTGGGCTGCATTTGGCTTTCAGCTTGGCAAGCCTGAGTTATATACAACCTTGGAAAGTTTTTTTATCCCTTTTTTCCATCATACCCATCAAGATGAGATCTGATCTATGGGAGCCTCAGAAAATGAAGGCCTATGCACAAGCTCAGTTCCTGGGCCAGCCTTCCCAGAATCAGCTTTGCAAACTATTCCAGTCTCAGCTTCTGTCTGGCATGGCTGTGTCTGAATTGCTTCCAAAAATGCACTGCTTATCAACCCAGGCCTGGACATTATGTATATTCTGTCTCCTTATTCCAGCATGTAGCACAAACAGCTCTCTGTTCGAGTATGATAAATCCCAGGCGTCCCTAGCAGCGTGTGCCGCATATAAATCCTGAACAAACCAGAGAGCAAGGACACCACTTTCCTCTTCCCTCCTCTCTATGTGCCCCATTCCAAATCTCACTTAAGTCTCTCTCTCTCTCTCTCTCTCTCTCTCTCTCTCTCTCTCAGCAGTTTGTATTTTTATGGATGATTCATGTTGGAGGATAATAAGCAGAAAAAATTGACCAAATTTATCTTTTGTGGTACAAAGGCCAAATTAGGTACGTGAAATATATTCGGCCTGCCCGCCTACACCTTTATGAGTCTTCTTTTGCTCATCATGTAACCTTGGACTGGCCTCTTTCTCTGTCTGTCTCAGCTTAGCCTACCTCACAGGATTGTTGTGAGGATCAAATGGAGGAAGAGAGAATGATGTATAGCTCCCTGAGCTCCTTGGAGAAGGGCGGTGTTAAAATGTACTGAATCAATCCATCAGATGTAATTGTTCCACAGTTCTGAATGAGTTGATATTCCTGGGGGGCAGGATGAGAGGGCTCTGAAGAACTGGGCTCCTCTTTCTAATATCTTCAGTATGAGCAAATCAGCAATGCACGTGGGAAGCAGAAATCTGATACTGCGTCAGATACCCAGAGAGCAATTTGTGGAGGATCCCCTCCCCAAGGCCATATCTCAATCCACACACACCCCAGTTCCCACATTTTCTCTTTCTCCCTCCCTCTGTCTAGTTTCCAGTGGCCAAGTGTCTCTTTCACTCATATGTACTTGCAGAGCTTGAGTCATGGGTCTCATCCGGGGGTGGTGGTGGTGGTGGTGGTAAACTGCCCATTCCTGAAAAACATGCACAGGCTTGGTACAGATGATTCCCCAAAACAACACACTATACTAACCATAACTTGCTGTGACATCTAGATCTGCCAACTATGGCCAGTGCTTCCCCTCCAAATGGGAATCAGGAGCCATGGTTTGAAGTGGGTCTGGTAAATACAAGGTACCTCTCCTTTACAGAAGATTATCTGAACTGAGCCACTGAGACCTATTAAGTTCCTTTGTAACTATCTGATTCCCATGGGAGCCAAAAGCATCGGTTTGTTTGCTATAGTCAAGACTGGCCAAACGTCAGCAGATAATGACATTGGACAGTAAGCAGCTACACTGACTACTAAACGTCAGTGACCTGTTTTTCAACTCTGCATTTAATAATGAAAATACTATGCACAGCAGGGGTGAAAATTACACACTTCTTACTTGCAGTAGTGGAAAGAGCCATCAAGTACCAAACAACTCATGGCAACCCTCATTGAGTTTCCACGGCAAGGGATGAGCACAGATGATTTGCCATTGCACCCCAGGCCTTCCTTGGCGGTCTCCCATCCAAGTACTAATCAGGGCTGACCCTGCTGAGCTCTGGAGAGCGACAAGTCAGGTCTTCCTTACTGTCTCTTTTAAAATAGGGGCTTGAGGCAGAAAATGGAAGGTACCACTGCAGCCAGTTTATTACTGATATTCTGTACTGGCCTGCACCAGTTTACTTTCACCCAGGGTGCTTAGACATTCATAAGTGTGAGCTGTGGACAATGGAGCACTGGTTTGAATCTCATCCCAGCCATGTACTAACTGGGTGGCTTCAAGCTCTCTACCCACCCACCCCCATCTACCATATGTGAATGGCAGTGGCACTGGCCTGTCTTACAGGGCTGCTGTACAATTTGGTGGTCTCTGTTAATATGTTGCTGGATGAAACCCACCGCATCTTTGCCAAATAAACAAAACAAAGTGTGTTTACATATCAGAAATGTAATGCCTTCATAGAAATATTCCCTCCTCCCCATGATGTCAAACAAAAGTCAAAGCGGACACCCAGGCAGGAGGGTGGAGGAGGAAGAGGAGGAGGAAATCAACAAAAGGCTAAGATAGTAATTCCCAGTCTTCTGAAACCTATTTTTCTGAGTAAAAATTGGAGAACGCACCTTATTGTGACACCACAAAAAGTTTACAGTGTCTAACACGTAATTCCTTGCCTTCAGATCACTTTCCTCTGTTTATGCATGTTACTGTTCTGGATGTGCCTGTGACAGGAAAAAAGCAAATACAGAGCAGTGACTCATGGAGAGCCACAACATGCAGCTTTCTCAGAAAGCAGAGAATGAACCTCTGGATTGGTATAGATTGGACGTTTGAAGCATACCCAGAGCAGAGGAGGAGAATTATCCACTTTTCATTCCCAGAAGGGGCTGATTAGAAAGTGAGACAGACTATAAATAACAAAAATTAAATAAGTTCGATAAATAAAGGAAGCAAGGCCAGAACAGTGAATTATGAAGAGACACAGTAGGCAGTTTTCTCTGTTGGTAAACTTACAGCAGTACTCCCACACAATGTTGAGATTACTAGTGCTAATTAATTGACTAATGTATGGCATTGTGTGTGTAGAATAGGCAGGAGATCTTAAGATTGTCTGGCAGCAACAAGTTCTGTTTCTAGCGTTATGCTAGTGGCAAGCTGGATTTGTTTTTAGAGGCTGAGGGAACTCTGAAGGAACTGTGACTGACCCAACGTCACCCGGCTGGCTTCATGTAAAAGAGTGGGAAATCAAACCCGGTTCTTCCAGATTAGAGTCTGCTGTTCTTAACCACTACACCAAACTGGCTCTCTCATTACTAGTGCTGTAGTATAGACTGGAATGAGGCTTCCCTCTAGTGGCCACTTCTGAAGGCTAACAGGGAGATGTGTGCTCCATGCACTAAGGTTCTGTTCCTAGGCATACTTTCTTGGGAGTCAGCCCCATTGAACTGTGGGGTTTCCTGCCAAATAAACATGCACAGGATTAGGCTATTAACCCATTTACCAAGCATAGCTTCCCTTCATAATGTCTAATGAGAGACTCAGGCCTAGCCTCAGTGAGGCAGTAAATCTGCATCTGCGCATGGGCAAGTGGAATTCTTCAAAAGTCTCAATTCCTTTTTTTCTTCAAGGGAATCATTATACACTCCCCCCCCCCCATCCAAGACTACCCTCTCTCACTTAAGAACAAAAGATCTCTGCTGGAGAGGACCTAAGGCCTAGTCCAGCATCCTGTTTCTCATGCCTGCCAAGCAAATGCCTCTGGGTTGCCATATTCCAAGTCCTCAAATCCAGTCCCCTAAATCTGGGCAGCTGCATTTGCTTTTTTTGCTAATTTTACAAACCAAGTACATTATTGAGTCTGCTCCCAGCAATTACCACAATAGATTTGGCGGGACTGAGGGAAGCCTAATTTTCAGTTTGTTTCTATTTGGAATTGTTCCTACTTTCTTCTCAGATAACAGCAAGGCTTGTCAGAAGGCGTAGCAAGCATGTCAGTCATACCTGTGACTTTCCTTACTGGGCATAACACCAAAGGCTGGGCTTCTCTATCATTCAGTGGTTGGACAGAACACATTTGCCAGACGCTTCTGGATCTACAAGGGCTAGAGGTTTTTAAAAATGAAACTTGGAAATCTAGCCCAGCTAACAGTCCATGCAGACACAGGGTGGCACACTAGGGTTGCCAGCTCTGGATGAGGAAATACCTGGAGATTTTGGGGGTGGAGCCTGAGGGAGCCCAGAGTGGAGGGACCTCGGCAGGGTGCAATGCCCATAGAGTTTACCCTCCAAAGCATCCATTCTCTCTAGGGGAATTTAAACCTCTTGTCATCTGGAGATCTGTTGTAATAGTGGAACAACTCCAGGCCCCACCTGGAGGTTGGCAACCCTGTGGCACAACCACAATCTGGCCAAAACCCAGACAACGAAGGCTTGTGGCAACTGAGCTGGCCAAGCCCTTTAGGGATGTGTGTGTGTGTGTGTGTGTGTGGAGGGAGTCTTTCTATTGTGTTGTGCGAAGAGCATACCAGTGGATACTTCCATGGTTAACTGTAAAACATGGGTTAATCAAAGAAAATATCTACAATATCCAGGGAAAATTTAAGAATGTGCAAAGAAACACACACACACACACACACACACACACTTTTATCTACTGCTTCATGTGGGCTTTCCAGAGGTTCATAGCAGATTTATAGCAGATTAGCTGAAACTGAAAGCATATGAAACAGCTGGTCTGCTATAATCCCATAAGTGTTAGAAGATATGAAGCTGCCTTCTACTGAGTCAAGCCATTTGTTTATCAAGGTGAGTACTGTCTACCCTTGAATTGCAGCAGCTCTGCAAGGAGGGGTCTTTCACATTACTTATTACCGAAACTGTTTGACTGGAGATGCCCAGGACTGAACCTGGCACCGTCTGCACGTTCTATCACTAAGTCACAACAGCGCTGTAAACTACTGGAAAGTTGTCCATACAGCAAATATTGAAAATACAGTAATACATAGCACAGTCCACTTGGAGTAGTCTGCAATTCTACAAAATATTTCAATAAAATACATTTTTTTCTGATGTTTTTGATTTCTCTCTTTGTCTTTCTCTCTTGAACCTACAGAGTTTTTTGAAGATTATTCTGAAGGTCGTGAATGCGTCAACTGTGGGGCCATGTCGACCCCGCTGTGGAGGAGAGACGGCACTGGCCACTATCTGTGCAGTACCTGTGGGCTCTACCACGAAATGAATGGCATTAACCGACCACTAATCAAGCCCCAGAGAAGGCTGGTAAGGAAAGGCCTGCATGTGACTGGGCTGTGGTGGACACTCCTACTGCGTTCACACTTTGTCATCTCAACCCCCCCCCCATTATGATTAATAAGTAACAAAAGCAGAACACATTGGCTTGGATCTACCAGAGCATTTCTATGGAAGGAAGGATTTCTGCTTGCAGCTGTGGGGTGGTGGTGAGAAAGTAATACTTCTGAAAGAGAATCAGCTTCCACCTGATTGCGCAATTCAGGCAGGATAGCCAAGCCCACAAGGGTTTAACCACCATTTCAAGGGAAGGGATGCACATCTGTCCCTTTGCAGATGTGAACCCCACTTGTGTAAGAGCTCCACATGTGCATTGGAATGTACAGAGGGGTGAACATGAAGGAACAGATATTTGTTTATCTGCTGTGCTTATATGTCACTTTTCTACCTATATGGGTCTCAAAAGTGGTAGATACAAGGGGCTGAATGAAATCCTTCCTCTGTGGAAAAGCTTCAGTGGAGTCCAGCTACTATGGAGAACCAGCTAATACATTTGCTCCATTTATAAGGATCACAAAATTTATTTTTTAAACTTGGAGCCCATACATTTCTATTTATAAGTCATGTTCAGTTTCTTGGAGTGTTCCCCAAAAGCAGTAAGAAGTCAAATAATACCCAGATTTTGTGTCAAATAAATCTAAATTCCACAACATCTATTTATTGTTATTATTGTTATTCTTATTATATGATCAGTGGTCCTGGTATTTTACAGAATAATATAAGCAAAAAGGGCACTCTGTGCCCCATGAAAGTCTACCATGTATTTCAACAGAGGGTGAGACCACTGAAGGATGGAGAATAGGACATGTAGGTGTTTTGGGAGGGTGTTCTGAGTATCAGAGTCAGTGACATTCTGTTTCCAGGATCTGGACAAGGACGGGGGAGAGAGGGAAGAAACCAGTGATAGTTCCGCAGTTACCGACAAAGCCAAGGTATGGATAGCCATGAAGAAGAATGCAGGATCTATGAAGAGCAATAAAGCACAATCCCTTTAACACTGGAAATCTAGCTTTACCACCATCTTTTGCTTCTCACTTGTTCTTCTTTGGACTTTTTTTTTTACAGTCGGCTTCCCGTAGGGTTGGGCTCGCGTGTGCCAACTGCCATACAAATACGACCACACTGTGGCGCCGGAATGCTGAAGGCGAGCCAGTCTGCAATGCCTGTGGCTTGTACATGAAGCTTCATGGGGTAAGAGCAGCAAAACAAAGCAGTGACTTTCCTCTCCTGTCCTCTCTTCAGAACCCGTCCCTCTGCTCAGCACTTTCTGTGGGAACCAGTTCCTTGTGGCCATTGAGTCCAAGGAAAATGGTGAGAGTGGCAAAAGATCAGAGAGTGAGGGATCGCCAGCGATCCTTACACCTTATCTGCAAGGCTGATAGCTGGCTGCAAAATCTCTGTCATGCCAAAAGGGTAAAGAGCATAATCCTTGAACACGGGAAGCTGCCTTTTAAAAAGGCAAACATCCATGTAGCTCAGTATTATCTGCACTGACTAGCAGTACCTCGCTATTGTCTAAAAGAGGAAATGGCCTTTTTAAGGTGCCATGTTTACTCCCTGCGATCTTTTAAATGGAGATCCCAGGAAATGTACTTGGGACTTTCTGCACAAAAGAAGGTGCCATGGTTTATTGGGGAAAAGGAGGACAAAATTCTGGGGCCTCATGGAGCTGGGCAAAACATGTGATAAAAACTAAATTTTGTCATGTGTATTTCTGGTTGGGTCTGTGAAATATACTGGGTTCAGATGCGTTCAAGTGATAAGCTCATAGTTTATTAGTGATTCAGCAAGAGAAAGAAGGCTGAGAAACCCCTGGCCGAAGCCAGGTATTTATGCCTGAAAAAGGTTACACACAAAACACACCCCACTCCCAACTATAGGCTATTTACACTATACTGTTTCCCAATTGGGTAACTCTAGGATCCCTGTCACCCTACTGGTCCATTCTAGGATCCTAGCAAGCTATTGTTATGCAACCCCAAGCTAAGTTCTTTTGCAAGTACAGTTCAGGCTCAAGAGATAACACCCCTCCCCCGAGGTCACTGGGACAGAGTCGGATGGTCCCGCCAGGGAACTGGTGGGCAGTGGCAGCGTAGGTGATATCTGGGGCTGCCTGTGACAGCTGACTCCAGCGTTCTGTCTGCACTTTCAGATGGCAGCTTGCTGGCTATTGGTTGTTCGCTGGCTGTGGGCAGGTCCCTCTCTGCCTCAAGTTCCAGGGGGCTTGGCAGCTCCTCCTCGCTGTCCTGTGGGAGTGTTGCGAGCAGACTCAGTTCTGCTGGAAGGAGCCGGCAGCAGAGCTGGTCAATGTGCCCTGTTACTCTGATAACCCTGGCAGGAACCCATGCTGGGCCTCTGGTGAAATTCCGGGTGTAGACGGGGTCGCTGGGGAAGAATCCACAGGGCACTGTTTGACTCTCGGGGGCTGGGCTGTGTTCCGGAGTGCGATCTGGGTGTAGACGGTCTAGCCGGGTTGTGCGGCGTTGGCCCATGAGGAGTTCCGCGGGGCTACGGCCGGTGGAGGCATTCGGGGTTATTCAGTGGCTGAAGAGGAAGGCCACTAGTCGGTGGTCCCAGTCTCCTTGGACAATCCGGCAGAGAGACTCCTTCATTGTCCTCACCATCTGATCTGCCTGTCCATTGATTGCGGGGTGGAAGGGAGGAGTTTAAAGGGGATTCTTTGTCCCATGGTGGATCTTGGAAGTTTGTTTTTTGAGGGGGATTTCTGGACCTGCCATATAGAGCTGTTCTGTATTGCATATTCCTAGGTCCCACGGCCCTTAGAGATGAGAAAAGAGGGGATCCAAACCAGGAAGCGTAAGCCAAAAAATGTAAAGAAATACAAGACATCAGCAGGGGTGGAAGGGAGGAGTTTAAAGGGGATTCTTTGTCCCATGGTGGATCTTGGAAGTTTTTTTGGGGGGGGGGGATTTCTGGACCTGCCCTATAGAGCTGTTCTGTATTGCATGTTCCTAGGTCCCAAGGCCCTTAGCGATGAGAAAAGAGGGGATCCAAACCAGGAAGCGTAAGCCAAAAAATGTAAACAAATCCAAGACATCAGCAGGTGAGTATTTTTTTTTAATTAAAAATGGTTCTGTAACCAGTACAGTATTCATAGGTCAGTAATCATGACAACTCAGTCTGTGTTGTAGACAGAGTTGTCAACAGGCCTGGAGAAAAACTGTCCTGCCCCTTCAATAGATGCTTAATGTGGGGAAGTGAGCAGCTGAAGCTTTTCAGGGCTTGGACTTTTTTTTTTTTTTAACCAAGACTGTTTGCAACTATAGGCACTTCTGCTATTTAGAGGTAGGTGCCCCAGTGTTTGTTTATAGATTTTTTACATGGACATGGGTGGTGGTGGTGGGGAGACGAGGAAAGGTTTTAATTACTTTTTAAAAAACGTACCAGTAGTCTAAACAATCTGTCTTGATTCTCAGTGTCTCAAGGCAAACTAGAAAATGGTTATGGTTAGAAGTAAATACATAAAATGATAGTGCGTTTTACACAGAGTGGGTTGATACAATCAATGGATGGGACATTCAGTAAACAATGCAGTAGGAATTAGGGTTGCAGAACCAACCAGAAGTCCAAAAACAGAGCTGCAGTAAAGCATAAGTATTAACATGACACATTAAATAACACAGTAGTATAGACCACAGTCCATAATAATTTTTCTAAGTAACTTTGTGAATTGTTTACTCTATTGCCTGCATAGAAAAGCCCTCTTGAATAATTCAGTTTTGCACAGAACAGAGTTTGAGTCCAGTGGCACCTTTAAGGCAAACAAAGTTTAATTCTGGGTATAAGCTTTCGTGTGTATGCACATCAGATATGGAAGCGTATACCCAGAATTCAACTTTGTTGGTCTTAAAGGTGCCACTGGACTCAAACTTTGCTCTGTTGCTTCAGACCAACACAGCTACCCACCTGAATCAGTTTTGCATAGTTTGTGGAAGGCCACGAGAGTGGGGACCTTCCTGACCTCCTCAAGCAGGCCATTCCACAATGCAGTGGCCAGAATGGAAGAGGCACGTGTATGAGTAGTTGTAGACTTTGCCCGTTTGCAGGTTGGCACCTGCAGAAGACTGATGAGCAAAGCTGTTGTGGCGGAACATTTAAAGAAATGCATATAAGAGAGTACCAGTGGAGGAAGGGCACCAAACATCCTTGTTGCCCTCTACATGGCACTGGGGTCCGCTCCAGGAGCTGCCTCTGATCTGAGTGGGCAATCGGTGGGGGGTCTGCTCTCTTTCCCTCCTTCCACTGAGTGGTGGGGAAGGATCAAGCTAGGGTTGCCAATGTCCAGATGGTATCTGGAGATTACAACTGATCTCCATGTGACAGATCAGTTCAACCAGATAAAATGGCTGCTTTGGAAGGCGAACACTATGGCACTGTACCCTGCTGAGCCCCCTCCCTCACCCCCCCAATCTCCTGGTATTTCCCAACCTTAGGTCGAGCTCTGCCCTCTTCCTCCTCACCTGGCCTGGGGTGGGGTGGGGAGGCTTCTCTCTGCTTAGTGGGAGGAGGATGAGCACTTTCCTGCCTCACTGTGGTCCAGTGGAGAGGCAGGTGGGAAGATGTTGTGCCCCACCTCGCCCAGCTGCCAGGGGATGAGGAGGGTAGGCACTATCTTCCTTCCTCCCCACAGCAGCTAAAGCAGTGAAATATGTACAACCAGCAATACAGTAAAATCATATGACAAAATTAGAGTACAGCTCACTAGAAGCACAGTTATTCATCAAAAGTAGCTATTAAATAAGCACATTTTTCAGCCAAGAGGCATACAATAATTAAAAGCTTTGCTTTCCCTCAAACAATTAAGAATTCATTCAGGTAGGCTGGGGCCCAGGAATGAACAGGAAATAACTAATTAAGCACCACACAGAATCAGAAACCAGTTTCAAAGGACGGAGACAAGGAAGACACTTGCAGGCCTAAAGCAGCTTCTGAACTATGCATTGACTTGATCTCTTTTCTCAAAGATGTTTATTTTTTTGTCTGATCACATTTTCAGGGCCAGCCAGTAATGGAAGCCTTACCTCAGCCATTAGTTCTGCCCCCTGCACCAGCACCACAACCACCACGGCTGCTGAAGAAATGCGCCCCATCAAGACAGAACCAGGGATTTCATCTCATTATGGGCACCTGAGCCCACTTTCCCAGGTGAGGAATGTGCGGTTGCTAGAAGAAAGGCTGAGGCTGCATGAGAGATTTTGGGTCAGATCTCCCTGGACACTGTTAATTAGCTACAGTTGCTCCACAAAGGAGCTCTAAGCAACATAACCCACTTTTAATTGTAACACCAATGCTGTGAAGTGGGTTAGGGCAGGGCAGGCTGAAACCTCAGACTTTCATCGCTTGATATGCAGTGCAAAGTGGTCATCCCTTGACTGTTCAGTGATCCCAAGTATGCACTCTCATGTGCTAGACCTTTATACACTTTGGTGGACTACAGGAATCCTAATGAGTGAGTGGTCTGAGGGAGAGCAGAGATCAAAAACGTGTCCAAAAGGATTATTTCTACACTCGGGGAACTATTTCTATACAGTTTAGCTGCCGAGGAACCTGCTACCCATACTTTGTAGGGTATGCAGAGGGACAACAAAATTGGTTGGGTCTAGTGATCACCTAGCACAAAATATATATCATGAAAAGCACCTATTTATATACTGTATTTGTATGAAATATTTACATGTCTTTTCTGATGTTCAACACAGTCCATAATTTTTTTTAAAAAAAGCAAAAGTACAAATGACATTACCCTGTAGAATGGGAGAAGAGGCAGTTGTGACTTCTTCCCTTATTTGTTCCATCCCTGAGTCCATTATCCACTCCTTCCCCTACCTGCTGTATGGAGCAGAACTCCAGGTGTGCAGTCCAGCAGGTGGGGAAGGTGGCAAGCAACTGTCCATATCCACCATGATCTACAAGTTGTCTTGTAGAAGAACCACTGACTGGCTAATGAATGTTCCTGGAACACAGTCTGAAAATCACTCAACTCATGGAATTTACAGTGTAATCCTAAACAGAGTTATTTGAAGATTGATCAGAGGGCCCTTTAGGTGTGGAAAGAGAGTCCTAAATCAGTGGGATCATTATGGAAGCCACCCTATTGTTTCCTACCTTTATGCTAATAATTTTCACTCTTTTCTCTTTCCACCAACAGCCATTCTCAGGCACTACAATGCCTGGGCACGGATCTGCTCTGCATCATGCCATCCCGGCCCTAAAACTTTCTCCCCAGGGCTACCAGCCAGGTATCAGCCAGTCTCCCCAGCCTAGCTCCAAGCAAGACTCCTGGAATACCCTGGTTTTAGGTGAAAGCCATGGAGATATCCTAACATCATAACCATCCTCCGCTTTCTATGGATTTGGGGCTCATTTGTTCAGGATACAAAGACAACGTTCAATAATCAAGCTACAGTGGGGGGCTTCCTTACTTCACCCACCCGCTTCAAGGGATGTAGATTCTGATCCTAGTAGAACCATTCCAAATTATGCTTTGAAAAGTGAAGGAGATACCTTTGAATCAAACCTCCATGAAGATTCAGCCAACCTGATCTGAAGGTTGTGAAATAATTTTTTAAATAGCTGAATTCTGTGACCCTTATAAATGGAGTAAACGTATTAGCTGGTTCTCCATAGTAGCTGGACTCCACTGAAGCTTTTCCACAGAGGAAGGATTTCATTCAGCCCCATGTATCTACAACTTTTGAGACCCATATAGGTAGAAAAGTGACATATAAGCACAGCAGATAAATATCTGTTCCTTCATGTTCACCCCTCTGTACATTCCAATGCACATGTGGAGCTCTTACACAACGTGGGGTTCACGTCTGCAAAGTGACAGATTCAGTTACACTGTGCATCCCTTCCCTTGAAATGGTGGTCAAACCCTTGTGGGGCTTGGCTATCCTGCCTGAATTGCGCAATCAGGTGGAAGCTGATTCTCTTTCAGAAGTATTACTTTCTCACCACCACCCCACAGCTGCAAGCAGAAATCCTTCCTTCCATAGAAATGCTCTGGTAGATCCAAGCCAATGTGTTCTGCTTTTGTTACTTATTAATCATAATGGGGGGGGGGTTGAGATGACAAAGTGTGAACGCAGTAGGAGTGTCCACCACAGCCCAGTCACATGCAGGCCTTTCCTTACCAGCCTTCTCTGGGGCTTGATTAGTGGTCGGTTAATGCCATTCATTTCGTGGTAGAGCCCACAGGTACTGCACAGATAGTGGCCAGTGCCGTCTCTCCTCCACAGCGGGGTCGACATGGCCCCACAGTTGACGCATTCACAACCTTCAAGATTCAGCCAAACCTTATCTAAAGTTTTGGCCTTTTTATGCCCTCAAATCACAACCGCTGCATATGAAATGCCAAATTATCTTTTTAAAATTGTTTATCTGATGTCTTGGCCAGCAATGATATGGCATCATTGTTCACTGTTGTTGTCAATTCATGTCAAACCAGATGGGAGACCATCACCTTGCTATGTTAAGAAGTGCTTGAGATTCCATGTCCTTTAGAAACAAGTCTGGGAAAGACTTGAGAACATTTTTGAAAGGCAAAAAACCCCAGAATGGTTGGGTTCTGGCTACAGAGATAGCAGTGGTCATGGCCGGTGGATTCCACTGATGCACAAGCATCTAATGAAGGCGGCAACCCAATGACTGCCCACAGCAGCCCACTGTCAATGTTATTGCTTTTCTATTGCGTGGATTTTTTTTTCTCCTGTTGCTATTGTGAAACCTCATTATCTTCCTTTCAAAGCAGCAATCTTCATCACCTGGCACAGTGCTCCCCCCCATAAAGTTGTAATCTCATTCTTATTCTTTCATGGTCTTTGAGGGGGGAACAGAGGGGAAAGGGCTCCAAGAAAAAGGAGAAACTTGAATCAGCGGCAGCAGCATCTTCAAGCATAGCAGGGTTTCTTTGTAGAATCAGGCAAGCAAAGGGATTCAGGATTTGACCTGAAGGTCAGTGTTTCCTCCAATGTGTGCCAGACTGCCAGTGCTAAACAAAAATTTGAACCAGCCCTGAAATACCCCGCCAAGTGGTTTGCCAACTTTGTTTACCAGCTCTGGCTCCTGTGCCTTCAACAGCCAAAAAATCAACAAATGATTCTTTCTCATCACCACGCCATGGCAGTCTTTGCCAGCTGGTTTCTGCACTGTTAAATGCACAAGAGCAGGACAGCTTTGTTCAGTTCTGTTAGCAACTACGCTCATTGGCTGTCTTTTCTGGCACACTCTTGGCAGGCAGCAAAAACCAGGAAGTTTACCACGCCTTTGCAAACATGGACCACTTTTGGCAGGTTGCAGGTGGTGCAGATCTGGGTTACAAGTGTGATGTTAATAACAACAATGTCAAAAGTTAGCCCTTCTCCCTAGTACAGAGTCTTTTATAAAGCTCTTGAGGTTTTTGTTTTTAATGAATAAAGTCTTATCTAGCTGAAATCAAAAGGAAAAAAAAGTGGCATTATAAGTTTTAATTCTCAAAGCATTTTGTGCATTTTAACATTTTACCTGCTCCTCTGTCTTGAAGGGTAACTGCTTTTGACACCCTTTGGAACTTCAGATGGAAGTCCTCATCAGTGAGACACTGAGAATTCTCAGCCCAAGCTTTGGTAACAAATTAAAACTGCTCTCTCCCATCCAAGAAGCCGGTAGGCAACAGTACGTGGCAGGTTGACGGCTTTTTGCTAGGGGAGAGGAGGAGCCACATGTTAGACTGTGCTGATCAAGTTGACCCAAGAGGTGAACACTAATATTAAAGCCACACACAGCCTGAGAAAGCCCTGTGCAAACAGTGGTTTTCATTTCCCCATCCAATTAGACATTTCTCAGTCTAAGGGTGTCTTTTTCTCTGTGTGCTTAGTTCTCTAAAATTTGTCTGTGAACATGTGTGTATGTGTGGGGGGGTCTTTTTTGTATGCACAGTGCATCCCATTTTGTGTACATAGCATGTTATTCGAAATGAGAGATTCATGTTCAAACATGTACATGCTGTGGAAGGCAACACTGGGATGGCCAACTATTTTTACTGCCCCTGCTGCTGTGCCTTTGGCAGTAGCTTTTGACCCAGAAGAGGCAAACTTTTTATCTTTTTTCTTCCTGTCAGGAAAAAGCTTGATAGGTTAAATTTCTGCATTCTGTCGTTAAAGACACAGGGGAAGCCAGTAAAACGAAGGGGGAAAGTGGCAACAGGATTTAGGTGTGTTCCAAAGTGTTCCTTTCCATCCTGCTTCTCACAAGAGATGAAGCTTTGTGACTGAATGCTGCTGGAGAGCCACGCTCTCCTTGGCATAATTCACAGCTGCTCAGGTCAGACAGTAAGATTACTGAGGCGTCTTGAGGAGAGCAAGCTGGCCATGAAGAAAGAGGAATAAAACCACCACCTGCCTCCCCACTGTGGCCAGCTCACCCTTTTCCTGGTGGTGATTGTACTCTCTCCTCTGTGTGGCCAGCCTGTTCTTCTCCTGGCAGGAGAGCCCACAGGCTGCAGAGGAGGGTGGGGATTTGTTGGAGGGGACAGGCCCTTTACTCCCCTCCCTGGCATAGAGCCTGCTCTTCAGGAAGGTTTACAATTTACCCATCTTGTGGTTCCTCCAGTGGTGGCTGCCTCAATTTGGAAACTACCTGACAGCCACAAGCCTCACAAGGTAATAGCCTTGTCCACATACCTGACATGTGGGGGTGGCTGTCATATTGGAGAACGTAGCTCAGAACCGTCACAACCAGCATGTCAAAAGAGATGCATGTGGCTCCCAAGCCACTTAGTGTGTTATCACTGGATTTGGCACATTTATGGAAGATAGGCCCATCAATGACTATTAGTCATGGAAGATAAAAGGAACTTCCATATTCAGTAGCAGTGTGTATCTCTGAATACCAGCTGCTAGTGGGGGGGGGGGGCTTTGGCCTTTATGCCTTCCTTTGGATTCCTGGACCTCTGGTCCAATCTGATTCTATTTATGTTAAATCTGTGGTTGGAGCCCTGGGCTCAGAGCCAATGGGTACCGTGCAGGAGCCAGAGCCCCATTAGATTTAGAGACTCACCCCTGGTACCACTATATTTAGGCCAGTAAAAGTTTGATGACTTTCAGTGACATTGATGACTTTCTCAAACATTGTTTTTTATTTTTATTTTTATCCTGATAAGTTCTCATGTAAAGTTTCTGTAACTTTCAGCACATGGCTGTTTAAATAAGTGCTTTATTCGTACTGGGGGAGGGGGAAGGGGGAAGAAGATTTGACCAAGTTTCTTTTCTATTTAAAGTTGTAATTTATATTATGAAACAATATGCCTACCAATCTGCATATCGACTTCACCCAGTAGAATGAATGGAAATAAAATAATAGACATTTGTTTTCAAATAAATAAACTGGTCTTTTTCTTTAACCTTGAACTCTTTTTATTGCAGCAGAGAACAAAGACTGAAATCATTTTGGGTCAGTTCTACCGCCAAATGATTTAGTGGCGATGTGAATATTCCACACTAAGAAAAAGAAAATAAAATTCTGCAAAAAATATCACAATTTATATTAGTTAGGCAAACTCCGCTGATTTGCATAATATACTTTGCTCTTTTGTATAAGCTTCTGCGAGCTAAGAGGAGAGGCAAGGTATTACAAAACTGCTCAAAAATGAAAAATTATGAGGCAGTTAATGCTCCAGTTTCTGAAAATTCAGCTGGATTTCCCCACCCACTTTCAAGGAAATTTACTGTTTTTAAGAATTCCTGAAATGCAATCTAATTTGTACTTATTTAAAAATGACTTTTGAAAAATATATTTTATTATTTTAGCACATGACTGAAGGAGCTAGTATAAGTTATCAGATATGACTGCTTGGATGACTGTCATTTTAGTGCCTGATACAAATATGTTTGCCATAAGAAAATTATCCAGTGACATGGATACAATATATACAGCACACACCAAATGTACTACTCTGTCTAACTGACTTTGTTATTCACTTTTTGAGAAAATTAAGTGTGACAGTCATGAGACTCGCACACACCACCACAGTAATTTAACTGCAGATATTATTCACAATTTAAAACTGTGCTACGGAACAGTCATCATCTTCCAGGCGGGTCCTTGAGTTCTTCCATAATTAGAACTGATCTCTAGATTTCAGAGATTAGTTATCCTAGAGAAAATGAAAGCTTCAGAGGGTAGAGGCTATGCCATTGCATTCCCCACTGAGCTCCCTCCTTACCCCAAACTCCAGTCTATCAAAGCAAACCCCCCCCCCCCAATCTCTAGGAGTTTCCCAAGCAGGAATTGGTAACCCTAGGCACTATCTTTTATGTTCAGATCCACTTAATCTTGAGGTGGTGTTAGCAT